GTAATCAATTTTATAAATATGTGTGTGATACCTGCTAGAAAAGATATTATATTCATAAAATTACCTGACATATTGACCAATTGTATGTTGATACAACACGCGGTATATAAACAAAATTGTCTATCAAATACCGATTGTTTATTTATATATCATACAATATACATATCTAACATACATATACATATCTTATTAAGCATCAAGATGATATCATTGCATAACATCACAATACTTCTAATAATTTTTACGATGATGTTTAAATGTAGTATTCTTTTCAGTTGCAGTGTTTTTTTTTCGAAAATTCAAAGATATGCAAATGTACTCCTTGGCAATCGTCACGATATCTTCGCTTCTTCGCATAAAATCGCATAAAATTGCGTAAAAGCGACTTGAACTGGCGCCAAATAAGATGGTGCGTAGCTTTCTCTAATCGCTTGAAAATCGCTCATAATTAATTTCGAGCAAGAGGAAAAATAGAAGAAATGTTTTTTAGATGAATCGAAAAGTTATTTGAAACCATATTCGCAATGACACACTTTTTCGCGACAACTAACAACAAAAAATATTCAATTGTTTTCTATATCTATCTAATTGGAAGAAAATTATTTAATCTAATTAAGAGAAAATCACAACATAAAAGAACCTTTTGGTACATTCTATAAATTTATTTTATTAATTAAAAATATTGTTTTATTAAAAAATACATTTTAATATAGTTTGTAAAAGTTTTATATATTTTTCTCGTTTTCTAACATCAGAGGATTCTAACATCAGGATTAATGAATAAGCAAGAAGGGATCTGGCTTTATTATCATTGTTTTATTAAATAAATAATGTAAGTATATCTTACATCTTGTGCAATAATAAAATAAATTATACACTTCATGTGTAATCCTCTCACTTATGTAAATATTATTACAGAATATTCAACTGTTTAACAAGCCTTATCTTAATCAAACTCATATTATACGTACATATTTTGTACAGAAATTTCCTTGCCTGCACATGATCATAAGACAGTTAATATGGGTTTTTTTTTTTACGAGAGAACAGTAAAATTATTCTCCTTTGAAAAATAAACCTTGTCTTTACAGCGCTCTAAGAATGGCAGCAATACAAATCATAACACCAAGCCAAGTAGCTATCATACTATGTCACAAACAAACAAATAAAACGAAATTGGATCTGTTGAGCAATCTGTTTTGTATGACATGTGGCGTATTTTTATTTGGCATTCATACACTCAATGCTTGCAGTCAAATATATTTGGTATTTTACTATTTCAATATTCAATTAAAATATTAAAAGAATAATCCTATTTTCGGTTAAATATGTTTTGCAAATAAACTGTGCGTTGATTCGATTTGTCACACATGAAATGCAATCGCAACTTGAAGTTGAAAAACATGTATTAATATCTTAAATTAAATAATTTAATAGTGTATGTATGTGTGTATGTTGTGTGTATGGAAAAAACGGCTTTGCCACGTCCAAAAGTTGCACATCAATATTTTTTGTTATAAGAACAATAATGAACAATTGTGATATAAACAATCGTAAGATTGGCATATTTTAATGGCTACCGCTGTTAAGTTGTCTAATTTACGGTTACATCACAACCAAATATATTGGTGGGCAAAAATTATTCAGAGTTTTGTGACAACCGTAGTGTTTTTTTCGTGTGATATGTATACATATCTTAAAAATCTATTAAAAAAACTTAATCTGAAAGATATTAAATTATTTAATATTACAGTTACATTTTTATGACTGCATTTCAAATTCAATAAATCGAATCGACACTCAACCTATAAAACTGAAAAAAATATATTTGCAATAAATTTACACATAAATATTTTTAAGCACCAAGAGAGAGATCCGTTTTCAGTAAAAATATAATTATTTTTCTTAATTGGTTTATTTATGTATCTATGATTAGATTTATGAAAGAGAGAGAGAGAAGGAGAGAGGGAAAGTGATAAAAGAAACCAACGTCTATATAGATATCATGGCCAAAGATTAAAAACTATTTGGCTATAAATAACTAATTATAAGCAAGAAAATTAGAAATGGCACTTATAAAAAATTATACGTGCAATGCGACAGATGAGTGGTACGCAATTTAACAATTTGTACATCTGCGCAAACACGTGCGTGAATGTCGTCCAGACGAAAATAAATTTACCTATTTATCTTGCTTTGCGGAACTTCGTGTTTTAAGCGGATTTGATATCCGAACTTGCATAGCCGAAGGCAGCATATTGACCCAGATTTCTCGCTTGGTTTTTTTATATATACATACATACACACACATTTTCATATATATACAATAGAAAGAAAGAGAGCGAAAGAGAGAAAGAGAGATCTTTTAGCAATATCATTTCAAAGAGAAACAGAGAGATTCAATCAGCAATAATATATTGTTTTCTCTTTAAATAACAAATAAGGAAATTTTACATATTTGGTCTTTTAAATCTGTGTGATTGAATATTTGTAAACATTTTTACAAAAATTTTTTGTATAAAAACATAATATAATTTTATA